ACTTTCCGAGGTACCTCAAACAGAATCCAAAATGATTTAATTAAATGCACTGCCGACGTTGTGATGAAATTAAAAAAGCACCTTTCGTATCAATTGTGCTTGATGAAACCACAGATGTAGCAAACTTAAGTCAATTATTCATTGTTGTGCGATATGTATTGGATGGAATTCCTCAAAAGCGATTCTTAGGATTTTTGGACGTCACTAGCGAACGAACTGCAGATGCATTGTTTAAAATTGTTTGTGACATTATTTTAATTTAGAATGTGGTTCTTAGCTTGTTGCCCAGAGCTACGATGGTGCTGCCGTAATGGCTGGCCATTTATGGTTCACGGGGTGGAGGATGTTAAGTTTTATAAACTTGTTATTTAGTAGTTGTTGTTGTTGTTGTTGTTGTTGTTGTTGTTGTTGTTGTTGTTGTTGTTGTTGTTGTTGTTGTTGTTGTTGTTGTTGTTGTTGTTGTTGTTGTCACCTTGTATATAGATTGAAAACAAAAAATATTATATGTCAGTTAATAAAAGTCAAGTCGTATAAAAGTCTTTTATATACATAATTGGTATTTCCTGTACGGCCAGATTATTTCCCGTACAGAGAGCGATGTTGCAATTTTTCACTTTAGTGTCTATTCGGTCTGTTCAGATGGCAGCATCTTATGGGCCCTATATTTTTAAATCTTATCGCAAGATTCCTGAAATAATTAGACAAAAATAAAAGAATGTATTTTGCGTTTTAACTTTTAAATACTATAAAAAATATGGAAAGTCCATAAGTTTTAAATATTTGTTAAATATCACTTATTAAAATATTATGCATTAAAAGTAAAACAAACTATAGACTTTCCACCATTCTTTACAGTTTTTTGAACCCATTTATGGACAACGCGTTGAACTTGCCCTTAAAACCGCTTGAAATATTAACGGTTTCGATTCGGTTCTAAAAATTTAATTCTGGATAAAATAACGGTTCAGTTTCGGATCCGGTCCAATAAAAGTTTTCGGTTCCGGCCCGGTTTTCTGTTTTTAACGGTACGGTCCGGGTAACTGGTTATTAATGGATTTATTATATTTTTAATTAATTTGTCAAGCAGTAAGGTGAAAAAATAAAACATTAATTAAAAAAAAGGACTTCAAACAGACTTTTTGTATAGTAGGTGTCACTTTTTAAAAGTGCGAATGAAATTTAATAGCACACCGTATAGTTGGATCATATATATTTTTTTTAAATCTAAATTTCTAAGCAGAGATCGTTTATTTGAAAAAACAGAACAGTTAAGTTAATATTCTAAAATGCATGGGGTCGGCTTAACATTTTTTGATTAAGTTTATATTTTACAGAAGCACTTAAAGAATATTTTTTTCAGTAGCGCAAATTTAATTTTGACGAAAAAATAAGCCCCTTCGTGGCCTTGAGGTTCAAATATGGTGTGTCTAAATTTGACCTAGGATATCCAATTTTTAACATACTCAATATAATAGCTTTCTATAAGTATTGCGTCAATTTATTAAAAAAAAAACTGCTTATATCGGCCCGGCCTAATCTGAAAAGTATTTTATTTTTCTACTTTAAGGTATATTTCTGTTATTTACGATTAGAAAAGAAATTTCTTTAAATAAGAGTCGTCTGTGATATCATTCTCTACAATTTTTGTTATACAGGATGTTAGTATTTTCGAACGACAACGCTCTACTCCAGAGAGTTCTCGTCAATTGATCAATTTTGATATAGGAACATGGACACTTTAACGGGCTTAGTTACCGATATACAGGATGTTAAAAGTTTAAAATCAAAATTTTAAATTTGCAATAAATCAAAAACGCCTTTAAATATTTTTTCTAATTTGGTGACAAATATGCTCTTTAAGAAAGTATTATTTTAACATGAACTAACTGTTGAACATTTTTACCAGTAGTGCGCTATCAAGGTTAGTGGCACTTTTTTCCTCTATTTTTTATGTCACTGAAAAAATATTTTTTACTTTATTAATATTTTTTAAAATTCTCTGTTAATTTTTCGTTAAAAAAAGTAAGAATCTCTCTGTCTCTCTCAAACAAAAGTCTGCATGTACTTGAATAATTTGTAACCACGGTCCGTAGACACCACGGTAGCCTTTTCGTCCGTTGCTAAGGAAGGCTGTGACGTCACGGAATGCAAAATCGAGTTGACAGAAAATATTCTGCTGCTGTTCGTACATTAGTTTTTTTAAAATCTAATATTTCATTAATATTTGGTGGTGTTTATATTTTTATTTTACACCTGCGTTGGAGTTTTTATAAAATCGGTAATTTGATTTTTTAAAAGACAAGCCACAAAACGGCATGAAAAAATTGTGTAATGATTTCCATCAAATTTTAAATGAATCACTTTTTATTTGAATTATAAAGAGAAGTATGCAAGTCTGCACTTGGTATTTTGCTTTTCTTTCTGGTGTCGTCCATTTAGTATTTTCTTTAGAATTCTTTTTCCTTGGGTTCTTGCTATTTTGATTTCTTTTTTGGTGTCAATTCTGTTTTCGTTTCCATGTCGTTCGAATTCTTTGTCCACAGGCTCTTGGTATTTTGTTTTCTTTTCTTACAAAAGTCTATCGTCTTGAGTTAATTTTAATTTTCACAAATTCCCATAGCGGATTTCTCAATTGAAATCGTTTTCTACCCTTGCGTTCCAATCCCCTGTTGCATTGCCTGTAGACTTTAGTTTCTTATTTCAAAAACACTGCAAGTACTTTTACGAGGGGAAATACTTGTCTCTTGGTGTTTGTAATCCTGCCTTCAAAAAGCAGTTGGCACCTCTAAGGAGCCAGGTATCCATAGATTACTAATGTGAATAGATGGGAAACACAATGGTAAAATTCTGAGTCGATGTGCTGCCATCTATCAAATTGGAGTGGTACTAAAATTCAATATGGCCGCCGCGAGCGGGTTTTTTTGAAATTTAACTTTGTAGTAGCGCAAAAATATAATGAAGAAGAAAATCAAATAAAGCAAAAAAATTGGAAACATATTTGACTAGTTTCAAATTATAAAACAACCATATTGACTGTTATGTAATTTGAAACTAGTAAAATATTTTGCCAATTTATATCTTTATTTGATTTTACTTCATTATATTTTTGCATTAATTTCAAACTTGAAATAAAATGCAATTTTCTTAATTTTTTTTTATTACATTAAATTAACGCCGCATCATATAATTTGTCTATTTAAACATGAAATACTCAAACAAATATGCATTTACACCATTTAAATAATTAAATATTTATAAAACAAACCTATCAAAAATGTTTTCTGTAACAAAATCAGCACAAGTGGTCAAGACCTTTATAAAAGTTTTGCGACTTGGAGTGGCAAATACGTTTGAAAAAATTGAAGTTGAAGCATCATCCTTTTTTACTATCGTGGCAAATTTGAGTGTGGATAAAATTTGCCATACGGTTATTGAGTCGACTAGTTAGGTTGAGGAGCATTTCTTCATCCGATAATTGTTTTCTTGATTCATTTATACAGCACTTGTAGTTATAACATTTTTATTCATCATGTGGGCACTGTGATAAATGAATTTAACTTTTGAGCATAAATTAAACTTACACACCTTTGGACCCTTGAAGATTTTAGGGTGTTTTCTTGTTTGATGTCAATGGCATTGAATCAATTTTTGATATTGATGGCTGAGACTCAAATATTTCATCGATCGATAGGGTATTTTGGAGGGCCAACATTTTCTTTACAACAATGATCATTTAAAAACTGAAAACAGAAAGAAAATTAAACAATAAACCAATTATTTTAACACTGAATCAAAAACAAGTTTGTAATATATTACTTACCGTCTGCGCCAGTGATTGTGTATTTTTCTTAAGACACTTATTACAAATTATTTTGGTTATCCTTAATATGACGACTGCATATTTTTTAATGTGGTACAAATTGTGTCACGACCAATATCTGGGAGTGCTTTATTGTTTGTTGCTGAAATCCATCTTCCCGTCTTTTGAAAACATGCTTAAAATTGGAAGGTGTTGAAAAATAAATCTAGATTCTAGATGAAACAAAATCCAATACACATACACCATCAAATGCAATAATAGCCATTTTAATTTCTCAAAGTTTGAAGTTTTGATGAGCTGACAAATGACATGACATTTCGATACGAGCGCCATCCCGTTAATTGGAGTGGTACTAAAATACCAACCTCATGTTTTTCCATTTGAGTTACCAGCCCCTGCAGGTATCTGAGTTTTTGGTTTATGAAAAATTGTCTAAGAGCCGTTCCATTAATGCTGATTCAAGTGTCCATTCATGGTTTTCATTTTCATGTCGTTCGAATTTTTGATCGTCTGTTCTTAGTATTTCTTTTTATTTTGAATCCTTTGTCTGTCTGCACTTGGTATTTTGCTTTTTTTCTGGTGTCTGTTTAGTATTTTCGGTTTCATGTCGGTCGAAATCTTTGTCCTTGGGTTCTTGCTATTTTGATTTCTTTTCAGGGGGTCCATTGTTTTCTATCCCGGAATTAGCAAAACCAGACGACAGAAAATGTCCGCAGAGACATTTTTAAATATTTTCGACATCTGGAAGCATATATCCATTTCATTACGGAGAAAAAAACAAAAATCCATCGATGCGACACTTTAATTTGAAATTCACTGATCACGTTACCGCTCCCATCGCTCGGATATAGTACAACTTTTTCAACCCCCTCCTCCTTTACTACAAAGAGCGGGAAAAAAGTGACGTGTGGTACTTTTCATAGTGAGATGAGGGAGTACTAGGTATGCAAGTAATAAATATATGTTTTACAGGACGCTTTGAAAGATTGGCTGATTGAAGACGCAGGATTCAAAAATTCTCGAAGAAAAATTTTATTTTTCAACATGTCATGTATATAAAATAATTTCACCTATCATAATAAATACTTTCCCTGTATGTATATTATATCCTTAAAATATGGGATAATATAATTTTCACACATTACAATATGTGTAAATGTCTATATGTAGAAATATTCGTGTTTATAGGAATCCTTACTCGAAATTCCCGACATTTTTTTGGCTTCATAGATTTTCAGCTTAAGTGTGCGCAACCATTCTCAACTACTAAATAAACATAAAAAAAACATAATGAATCTGGTTCTTGTAAACTTATCAAATAAAAAGCCTTTTGTCTATTTAAGAAAATCTACTTTTTGCGATAGCTTGTGTTAATGAAAAGTGCTAATGTAAAAATTTATGGTCATTGTGAAATTAAACTAAAAAGTAAGTAAATACAATACACCAAAAAGATTAATACATAGTGATTGATGAAATATTTAAGTTCGTATAATTTCATTCGTTCTATAAAAACATTTGTATTGATACATGATACACCTAGTTGATGAAATTTAGACAATTTCTGGATTCTCTCATGAGACAATATTCAACAAACCTGATTTTACATAAATATCAATATTTTCCTGCATGTTTCTAAAATAATTATTAGTGATTAATTGTTTTTTAATTTACTTTAATATGTTATGTGGAGTGATCCACAAACATGTTTCTAAAGTAGGCCATTTTTAAATGTCAGTTTGGACTTAATTCAGAGCCGTGCGTAGTTATCACGGACATGATTCGTATCTGTCTTTATCAATCACGGCTTACTTTAGAATTTGTTTTTATGGATTGATGTGAAAATTAGATACCAATCTTATTTCTTATTTTTAGGATATTTAGATAGCTGTAAAGTAGAAAAATATAAATGGATCCCAATATGGCAAAAGCTCATAACATTCAAGATGAGATCAATGAAACTATGAACTCTTTAACTAACGATGGTACTTATACTATAAATGGCTTGTTGAGTACTTTTGCGAGTATGCAAAGTGAGGAAGACGATCCAGAAAAATATGGTAAGAGTAAAAGAATAAAATAAATGTTTTCTTATTTATTTCAAGTCGGCCTATTATTTAATTTAAGTGGGTCCTACGGTTTTATATATCCTTCGATATATCGCTACCTGTGATTTGTTATGTTATTACACCGCAGTTCAAACAAAATTCCTCAACAAAATCTTTAAAGAGAATATAAAAATTGATATCCCCTTTCTAATAAAAAAATAATCATAGAAATCGGACAACGTGGTAAAGAAACTTTCGCTGAACATAGGATATGAAAAAAAAATATTGAGAACCTCCTCCTTTTTGTGAAGTCTGTTAAAAAAGTGATAGTCGCAAATGCAGTTAAAACTTATTTTACATATTTTTTAAAATTTTTTTTTCCTAATTTTAAAAATCACTTTTGCGTACTTTTAAAATGTGCGTAAATTACGATTTTATATTATTGATTATTATACTCTGGATCGTTACGATCCTATATAATATTTATTTATTTTTATTATTTATTTTAATTGTATCCAAATAGGTTATTCGCGTCAAAATTGTTTTCACTTTACTCTTTATAAGTATATATTTATTCAAAATCGTACCTTCGAATATTTGATGGAAATAGCCGAAGGACAGTACGAGTTTTGCGACAATCGGTACCACATCGAATACAAGAACATCACCAATTGTGTTGGTGGCATGAGTTTTTTCCTGTTTTCCCAGGAATGCGAACTATACCTTGGTTAGTCAATGAAATATTAGTTTTAATAATACGACAACAACAAAAAACAATTAATTAAACGCCACATAAATCAACTTCTCCTAACATAAAAAGCAGTCCACTCAATTTTTTACTTGGTAACGGACCATACTCTTCACACAGTAGTCTGTGAAGAGTATTACGCATTCGCTTCGTCCGTCTGTCCGTCCGATGTCACGTTTTTTGTCCGCACGATAAGTTAAAACCAGAAAACAATAAAAATTTGAAAATTTCATGAAAAATCAAGCTTTATAAGGAGTCGAAGCCTATTGGCTTTGAAAAAAATCTGAATAAAAATGGGAGGGTTAAGGGGGGTTGAAACATTAAAAAAAAATCCTTTCACAAAAACGAAAAATTATATCAACTTGAAATTTTTAGCAAAAATCAAGCTCTATAAGAGGAAGAAACCCTTTTATTTTGAAAAATCTTGTTAAAAATACGGGAGTTAAAGGAGGTTGAAATTAAAAAAAAAAAAAAAAGCGATATCAACATGAAATCAATCTCTATAAAAGAATGATTCTGAAAAAATCTAAATTAAAATGGGGGGTTAAGGTAGTGTTGAAATATTGAAAAAAATCCTAACTCAGTAACAAAAAACGATATCAAATTGAAATCTTCAGGAAAATCAATCTTTATAAGGGGATGAAGCCAATTGATTCTGAAAAAATCTGAATAAAAATAAGTGGGTTAAGGGGGGGTTGAAATAATTTAAAAAATCCAACCAAAAAACAAAAAATGATATGAGCTTAAAATGTTCAGCAAAAATCAAGCTTTATAAGAGAACGAGATCTATTGATTTTGAAAAAAATCTAAATTCACATGGAGGTTAAGGGAGGGGGGGTTGAAATATTTAAAAAAATGATATCAAATTGAAATTTTTTTGCAAAATCAAGCTCTACAAAAGGAAGAAGTCCTTTGATTTGGAAAAAAATCTGAATAAAAATGGAGGGTTAAAGGGGTTGAAATTTAAAAAAAAAAACGTAAATCTAAAACGAAAAGCGATATCAACATAAAAATTTTAACAAAAATTAAGCTCATCTATAATAAAATGAAGCCTATTGATTCTAAAAAATCTAAATTAAAATGGGGGATTAAGGGGGGATTCAAAAACGAAAAAAGATCAACTTGAAATTTTTAGCAATAATCAAGCTCTATAAGAAGACAAAGTTTATTAATTTAAAAAAAAATGTGAACAAAATAGGGATTTAAGGGGGTTAAAATACAAAAAAACAGAAATCAAACACCAAAAGCGATATCAACATGAAATTTTTAGTAAAAAAATCAAGCTCTATAAGGGAATAAATCTGAATAAAAATGGGGGGTCAAGGGGATTGAAATATTGGAAAAAAAATCCTAATTCAGTAACGAAAAATAATATTAACTTGAAATTTTCAGCAAAAAACATGCTCTATACAAAGAAAAAGCCCTCTAATTAAAAATGGGGGGTTTAAGAGAGAGTTAAAATTTAAAAATCTTAAATCAAAAATAAAAAGCGATATAAACATGAAATATTAATTAAAAATCAAGCTCTACAAGGAAATGAAGCCTATTGATTCTAAAAAAAATCGAAGTAAAAATAGGGCCATAAGGGGGGGTTGAAATATTGAAAAAAATCCTAATTCAGGAACAGAAAACAATATAAAATTGAAATCATGAGGAAAAATTAGGTTTTATAAGGGGATAAAGCCCACTGATTCCGAAAAAAGTCTGAATAAAATGAGAGGTTAAGTGGGGTTAAAATATTTAAAAAAAATCTTAACTCAAACACGAAAATTAATATCAACATAAAATTTATAGCAAAAAGCAAGCTCTATAAGGGGACAAAAACAATTAATTAAAAAAAGTATGAACAAATTGGGGGGTTAAGGGAGACTGAAATAAAAAAAATAGAAATCAAACACAAAAAACGATATCAACAAGACATTTTTTAGTAAAAAGAAAGCTCTATAAGGGAATTAAGCCTATTGATTCTGAAAAAATTTGAATCAAAATTAAGGGATGAGGGGGGGTTGAAATAAAAAAAAAATTGAAATCTTCAGGAAAAGGGAATGAAGCTTATTGATTCTGAAATTTTTTTATTGAAGATAAGGATTAAGGAGGGTTTGTTAAACTGTAAAGAGTATAATATAGAATGCCAAGCATTATATATCTTCATTCCAGTTTTTAACCGAATTCAAAAAAAGGAAGAGGTTCTTAATTCGTCGGAATATTTTTTATGTATGTTCAGCGATAATTCTTTACTACGTTGTTGGATTTTTATGATTATTTTTTTGTTAGAAAGGAGATACTACAGGAGTGGTCCCATATACAATTGATCAGGATCTGATGACCTATGAGAAAATAAAAAGAACTTAATTTTTAAGCTCATCTGCACGATTTTGAAGTCGGTCTTTTAAAATTTCTTTTATAACTTGTGTTGCGTTCATATTGAATTTTAGTACAGGAACTAAGTAATAGGTGTCGGATGAAGCGAAAGTTCCGACTCCATGTTGCCATATTTCAAAATGATCTATTATTTAAAGGAAACTATATTATGCATAATATTTACAATTTACACAAGTATATATTTAATATGCAAGGCGTCTCATTTTTTGTCGATTTCTTATAAAAACTAATTTTTAATTAAACTTGGTGCTTTATCTAAAATTATATACTAAAAGAGATAAATATTAAAATAAATACTTTGTACAGGGAAATAAAAAATGCACTCAAGAGTAAAGAGCCCTTATTTACACTTTTCTCATTGAATACACTTATATTAAGTCACAATATACTAATAATTTAAAAGGAAGTTTTTTTAATTTTTCCTAAAACTCGTATGAAAATATTTGTGAAAAAAATGATATAATGTATGCTGAGTTTTTCTGTAAATAAAATGTTAATTAGACAAAATGAACATTCAATTTGTGAATTAACATGGAATAAATAATAAAGTGGCGCTAGTTTCAGTGACGGCATTTAATTTTATTTATGAAATAGTAAATAGTGTGTGTGTGCACTGCATCGCTTGGGTCACCGCCCGTTTATCGTCTCTTTTACTTGTTCTAGTCGTTTTGATATAATCAACAGGTTTGGAAACAGTGAAACTTTCTTGTCAACAGTATTTTGATCAAAAATAAAAGAAAGTGTATTGAACTTTAAAATTACGGAGTAGTTGTTGTCAAAAGAGAAACTGCCGCCCATATTATTGTGAGACATGGCTTTGAGATTATTTTCATTGTATTTTACATCTTGGTCAAATTTAAGTTTAGAATTATTTCCTTTTTTTTTAATATAAAGATATTATCTTGGCCGGAAAAGAGTCCAGATTTAAAAGTAATAATTAACGTTTTGCCGATCAAGACTGGAAAGTAGACGTTAGGGGCCGGTAAAGGCTTTACCGGTCTCTCTTTTTATTTTTCCGACCGCTGTTTGATAATAGTCTGCCTAGGTTTCGTTACTATCGTAACAGTAACAGTTCGTTGATTTTTAATTTGTTGATTATGTCAAACTTGTTTTCGCAAATTTAAAAATATGGATTCATATTTTTTAATATCTGAAATAGAAAATAAAATCCCAGAAGAAATTTTGGAAGCAGAAAAAATGTACATTTAACATAAATATGCAAAAATAATGTATTTGGTTAGTTTATGCAGTTGTATCCATTAACTAGTTTTAGCATTTGTTAATCACTTTATTAAATAAAATAAATAATTGAGTTTTATCAAAGGATCGGTCTTAAAAAAATATTGTACGTCACGCGACCGAAAATTAGCGTTAAGCAGGTCTCGCTTACGGCTCGCCCTGGAATCTGCTTACCTCGACCTGCAAAACACTACTTTCCGGTCTTGTAACGTAAATTACTATTGTGTTTTAAGAGCGAAAAGTGATACTTCTTCGCTTAAGAGGGAAAGCCCACTCACGCGACATGTCGCGCGTGACATGCCGTATGCGATTTTTTAGGTACGATTTTTAACAGACGACAAGCAGCGATATAGACGTTCAGTATCAAACTGGAGGCGGAAGAAGTAGCAACGGTGTTGTTTTTTTCTGTTCGTCGTCGGAAAAAAATTGAAACGACGTACGTACTGGGTTCATCCATTATTTGTAGACCCTTATGTAAAAGGCTAATTTATTATATAAGGATTTACGTCAACACGAAGATAAGTTCTTCAAATACTGCAGGAGTAGTGTCATTTGACGAACTGCTAGCGCAGATTCCCGAACAAATACAAAGACAAAATACACATTTTTGCGATAGTATATGCCCAGAAGGAAAACTTTGGAA